TTTCAAGATAATCTAATTTTGAGTCAAAACTAGGCAGATCTTGATTTTGCATTTTGTCAAAAAGATACTTCCGCGTCATCACATTACATCCCGAGCCTTCTCCCAGTCCTGAAATTAAAAAAAAATTATAGTTAAAGTAAAATAATATTATTATGCTATTTGACCCTGCTCGATTCAAATATGTCTAACACTCATTATCGCAAAAAATCGCAGCCAATTTTAGTGCTTTTAGTATGTTAAACCCTTTGACATTATAATTGTAGTAGAATCACTGCATAGAAATGTGAAGAAATACATCAAAAACCTTTTTGAATTCTGAAAAACCATTTTTTTCTTGAAATATTTTAGTGTTGACTTTTAGTGTCTCAAATTAATAGTAAATCTACATAAATTCACAATAAAAAAATAAAATATATACGTTTTTACCTGTCATACTGGAATCCATATGGTGTTTATAAAAAATCCCACGCACACGAGCAATAGTCACTTTTAAAGTACACGTTTTTGCAAGAGACGCCGCGAATCGATACATGCACTCAAAGCGATGATCAAGTTCCGACTGATCATACGGTTGTCATAGGGTCAGGAAGGGAAGGGGTAGGGCGGGCTTTTGTTCTATGTCTATTCAACTTTATCAGGGACCAGTTTTTTTTTACCTGGGCAGACTTTTGTAAAATCGACTTTTGGCCAGCTAAATCGTAATTTTTCCCCACTGTGCGGCCCGGGAATCGAACCTGGGACCTCTGCGTGGCAGTCCGGCATGGCAACCGTTCGGCCACAGAGGCAGTTAAAAATAGTAATTGTTTATGTTTAGTAATAAGTAATTGTTTTGTATTACGTTGTCTTAATTAAGAATCTATTCAACCTCAAATGGCTATGGTAGATACCGCATAACAGTGAAAGGGTTGAATCAATCTCTTTGGAAAAAATATACAGTAAAATTAAGTATATACACTGATTAGGATACGATATAAAAACACGATTCCTAAAAATTTTCGCGATAAAATATGTTTATATCATACTAACGTATAGTTAACGCGTGTTAAATGTTGTACAGACAGAAATAGTTTAAATTGCATAAAAATGTAGAGCGTGCTCGTACAACGACGGTGATGATGGTGAATTCGTTGATGTGGTCGTCCTAGAATACATTCTGATGTGGTATACAGGAAAGCAATGTATAGTGAAATAAGTTTTGTTCTTTATTCCTTTAAATGAACGACTTCAGAATGTTCAAAACAACAGGAACGTTATTTTCCTTTAAGGGAAAATCCACGATTATATCAAAATGATAACAGTGCTCGAAGGTCACAAAAAGACCTTCAAACATCGCCTTTCCTTATATTTATTGAGTCCGCTTGTTTCAGTAAATAAAAACAGTGACATGAATATTACCACACTCAGGAATGTTACATGTTGCCCTTAATTTTGAGAACTTAAAACATTGCAACAAATTACTTCTTAAAAGTTTTCATACAAAAACTTGTCCGACAAAAATAATAATCTTTTAGACCATGGGAGAGGCGAGAGTCTAAAATAGATATCCAAAATAATAATAAGCTGTATTTGTCCATTTTGGAAATGGACTTAATGAACTTCTAAAGATCTAAAGAGATCTGATCAGGAAGACATGGAACTAATGGGAATAATTATGACATTAACATTACAACAATTGTTCCAAATGGAACTGAGTTCATGGAACAACTGGAAATAACCGGTAATTTAAATACGTGCTGAATTGTCAGAAAGTTCATGTAGATTGAAGACGACGAAGTGGGCTCATATCACACACCCTCCACACACCATACACACCATGCTGCATTTACTTGAGTTCGTCCGTTTGTGTGGATAAAACTAACCAACGGGCTGAAAATGAGAAAGACCAGATAATAATAATAATGTGCTTAGCAACCACACCAATTGCCTGGTCAAACTACGAAATTCCCTGTACTATAAGTACCAAAATAACGGAATTCACACTGCGGCCCAAAACACTCAGAACAGTTCCATATCTTTTCCAAATAACTTTTGTTTATAGTGACCCTCCCTATCAAGCTCTTGGTTATGCGGGAAGGGTACTATAATCTGTGCGAGCAAGCCCACATAGGGACCTTCTCAGTCAGGTCCTGACCCCAGTTGAGTCCGTTTGCACGGTCTTCATCCGGTTCTCAAAAGGCTAGTGCCTGGGCGAGCTGCCCCGGGTGAACGTACCGGAGCAGTATTATAAGCACGCTCACGTCCCGTTGCGCTCTGCGCCACCGTTGCCACCGGTAAGTCGTCGACTCCAAGTCAATCAGACCAGAACAAAAGAAAAGTTCATTTCGCAAATTGGTCCTACCGAAAATCAAATCCGGCCTCCGCATCCAGCGCTCACAGTGCAAACCGTTAGGCCACTGAGGTCGTCTATATATCGAAAAAAAAAATTCTGGATAGCATGTTTAAGGTTTTACCGACTGTTTTAAAATATTTACCACGTGTTTAAAAATTTAATTTTGGTTTTAATTAAGTTTAAGTTTTAAAACAGAATTTAAAACATGACGTAAATATTTTAAAATAGTCGCGAAAACCTAAAGATGCTCCACTGAAATTTCTTTCGAAATGTTTCTACAAAACACTGATGATATAATAATATGCTACTTGTTCATTCTGACATGAAACGCTCATAGAACCTCATCATATACACGAGCTAACTAAGTACATACATACTTACAAGTTAGCATTCTAATAAACTGCATTTAGAATAATAGGTAATTTTTTAATTAAATCATGAGATGCTAGTAAGTATCATCGGTTCTATATCGTGAGCAAACGGTACAAGGATTATTCAAAACAACAAACGAAACAAAATTAAAATTTTATATTATCTACGATGCCCTTGTTTGCAGAGTTAATTATCACTTTATACATTGTATATTGCTTTTTAAAAGAAGACTAGTTAGAATCAAAACTAATTAAAAAAACTAAAATAATTTGTGCATTTTTTACCGTTTTTATTTTACAAGACAGTAAGTAGGTAGTCGTAACTTTGGTATAATAAAGCCACACTGGATCATACGCCAAAAGTGGTTTTATTACATGAAAGTCATAAAAATTATGAACTATGACTTACATGAAACAAATTACACATAAATATATGAAATTTTTTTTTTTGTCAAACACAAATTTAATAATAATTATAATCTAGCTTTTTACAAGACTAATAAGTAATTTTAAATTAACATAATTTCCTGATATAAAAGTAACTTACAAAGGAATTGCCCGTCCACAAAATATCTTTTCGACACTGGATAGGTGAAATGTCTAACGTGCACTTGGAAAATATTACAGGAGAGCGATTTAAAGTAATTATTTTAAAAACAAAAATCATATGTAACTCTAATTTTATTTGTAACTTATATGGAAATCTAGAAAGTTTCAGCTTTTCCATATAACAAATAAAATTAGGATTATGACTTCCTTGGTCTTATTATTCACACTCGCGCATTTTTTTTTTCATTCACTATAATTTGGCCACATTACTCAAAGGTTTAGGTCTTTGTAGTCTATGCACTATATTTGTATTATCAAGTCTCCTATTTAAGCGTAAAAAAGGTATCAACTAACTTCGTTCTTAGAAACTTTAAACCTCCTCCTGAAAAGTTGTCATTTTGCAGATGTGGCCTTTTTACATCAATGGTGTGAAGTATATCTAATTATTATACTAACGTCATAAATAGCAATTATACTTACTCTAAGTTACGTAAAAACGATACATGAATAGAAGGGTTTGATTAGTTAATCGATCTCTTTTGTCAACTTTCATCCTTGTGGCGCAATTCGCAACTAAACTATGCCGACTCGTGAAGTACCTAACCACTGTCACGTACAAACCTACTGCATTATAAAACACCTAGCTGCACAACAAAAGAGTTATATTTTGCAAAGTGGCTAATTGGCTTCTAGTCGGAATATGATACAACTATATGTATACAATGGTATTCCGCATTGTATTCAGTATTCATTTCTAGCGAACATGCAATAAAATTACATTACATGTGCCTTGTAAGGGCTAAGACTTAGAAATAGACAAGCAAATTAATAAACAAAAATAAAATAATAAATTAAATAACGACTAAATTATATTATTTTATATTTATATTAGTATGTTATTATATTATATTATTATATTATTTTATATTATTAATATATTAATTAATAAATTAAATAACGATTAAATTGTTTTAAATAATAAAATATCTTAATAAAGGAATGCTGCGCCAATGAAATAATAAATGTTTATGTACTAATTATTGTAATTGTAGAACTAACATAGAGAGATCACATTTCTCTGTCTTTCATAAAATCTTCTATGCGTAAGAACACTTTTGTATGAGGAAATACTTTCATTTGTTGTAAAACACTTTTTCACCTAACTAGCTCGGAAAGGCTTTATCTCTCATTGGAAATGAGTTTTATACACGCTAGCGTGAAAAAGGTTTTTGAAATTCGACCTTGACGATGGACTGCGGTGCACCTAACTTTTTCTTTTGGTGAAAAAAGAACATAATGACATGTTCAACTACAAATACAAATACAAATACAACTACGAGACTTGTCATACACTATTTACGTAATATAAATCCGTTGGTATATTGTATTCTAATTATTGTAGATATTAAGTTGACAGCGACTAATTTTGTTTATTAAAACTGATTTGTTATAGTTCAACTATTTTTCTCTATATGGTGTGGTGAAAAATTGTATGTTTCGGCAAAGTTGATTTGCGTCTCGTACATTGAAACCCTCGCTACGCTCTGGATTATATTTTTGAACCAATACAAACACTCGCGTCAAACAACAACTTTGCAGCCTTGCATAACAAATAACTCTTTCGTCTTTCTGAAGTATTATGGTGCTTGGTAGTATGTTATACATATTTATTATTTATTTATTATGTTATACAATTGTAAGTTGAGGCAATGGAGGTACCAGTTTATTTTGTCTACTATTGTAACAGCGGTTCGTATCATGTACAGGTTTATTTATTTATTTATTTACTTGCAATAATAATAATAATTTGTTTTTATAGTTGATACAAAGATCGTACAAACTCAAAGATAAATTCCTTCGATCGCTCTCACAACTAGCTTACGGAATGAGTTAGGCCGCTAACAGATTGACTTGTTTGCGGTTAATGTGTGAAGTCATTATCAACTTCATGCGGTGGAGGTCTCGCTGCATGAAGATAATTACCACTTCACGCATTAACTGCAAACATGCAGTCAATCTATTAGGAGCCTTATGAGACCTGACGAATTTCTTTATGTGCTTGCTGCAGACCTTCGTCTTTTATTTTTAACGGCTTTTTCGCCGTTGCGCCATCTGTGAGGAAACCACAGGAAACTTATTTATAGGTTAAGAATTATAGAACCTAAGCACATACAGGTAGGTACCATTTATTTAAACAAACAAGCTAAGTTTTAACTTCTATTACAAATGTTACAAACGTGATGGTAATCTTTTCGCATATGACGATGTAATGGTCTTACTTGAATGTTGTGAAAAGCCAGAACTTGCGAATTACTTTAAGCGATACTATTAAAATTCCATTCGCTACCCATGGAGTCTAGCTTTCGCAACATACTACGTAGGTACATGTTCTTAAAGCTGGTTTACGTGCTTCCTTAGTTAAAGTAAGAGCACGTTCAAATTATGTCGCGACTACAGATAGTCGTGCAGTTTAAAGTGCGTAGCTTGGGCATTTAAATGAAATTGCTCACACATAGAACAACACGATTAAATATCATTCACGACTTTTTTGACGTTACGACAACAGACTCGTGACAATGGAAACAGTTAGAACAACAGACGGTACATAAAACGTCACGATAAAAATGTGACGACAGATAATCGCAGCTTCTAACGATTCTGTTGTGCAAACAACAAGGCGGCTGCCGTGAACGGTAAATTGTCGTCACGATCTAGTAGGAAAGCTAGACACGACTGTCGTTCAACGATAAAATAAATGTCCACGACACAGTCACGACAGATGGTCGCGATATGGGAACAGGCTAGACGCGACAGTCGTCCAACGATAAATAAAACGTTACGACGTAATGGGAACACGTCCTAAACGTTTATTGGAATTTATAATACAATTCGCACCCTTGGGTGTTACCTATAACGACGCATCTGCGAAATAATACCTTTTCAGGAGAGATGTTTACAGATTCTACGCACGAAATTAGTCGATATATTTGATGCCTTTTTTTATGATACCAAGTGGCGCTGGCGGGACGAACAAATCGTACGCCTGGTGGTAAGCGACATGCGTGTCCATAGCAGTTGCAATACCACTCAGGGCTTTAAATCGCAAAGATCTGAAGGGCACTGTAATTTCACCAGCATTCTTAAGTCTTCACTCAGTAATGCTCACATTACTGCTAGGCGGTAGAAATAGGTAAGGACTAAAGAGGTGAGTTATACCTACAATTTCACATATGGGTACAAGATTTGTTTCATATAGTTCGTAATTTCATGTAAAATAGAACTTTGTATATTAAGGGCGGTAAATAAGGAATTACGAACGTGACTCTATTAGAAGCCCGAAGTCGAAGACTTAAGGCATTCGGAGTCGAGGTTCGCAATTCCCGTACGCCCGTGAAACATACAATGTTTTTCATACAGGACCATGGCTGTAATGAGAAGGAAAAAAGCCGGAGAGTTTTATTTCGGGTATTATACTTAAGTTAGCCTCCATGCAATCTTACTATTTAGGTGCAAGTGTGGTGAAAAAGTCATTGGCTTATGATCACATGTGGTTTTATTATACAATTGTTGATATTCCATTGTCTGTTGGGCTTCTCACCATGCAAAATAGACAAAATATTTATGTATTGTAATAAAAGCTCCCTACCATGTGCTACTGTAATTGAAAAACAGCCAGAGGCCAGAGATACCTGTGAAAATAAAGAGATTCTAACATATCGATGTGAAGGTACAACAAATGAGAATTGTGACTGAATATTTTGAAGTACACTCTTCAGAAATAAGTTTACAATTTACGTACATTTTTATTGGTGCCATTTTTTCGTTTAGATAGCGGTTTAGCGATGATTATAAAACTGTGGGCTACACTGTAGTTCTATAAAGAGAAACGGTGAAAGTCGGAGTAATTCCGGTCTGATGACGATACGACGTCTCTAGCCTCGCATTAAAATTATGAGATTGACCTATATACTGAATATTTTTTTAATTGTAATCTATAAATTTTCTATTCGTTTAAAAATTTTATAAGCTCTATCTGTCTAATGAATTGTAATTAAAATTGGTATTCCAATCGATCGTACTTATCGGGATATCTCTTTGCTTAATAAACACTGCTTGTATATGTTAAGTAAGTTGCCAAAAATGACAAAAAGACTTACACTCCAACGACTCCAGGTAGTTCTCCAAAGAAATCCTTACGCACTTCAGACTTATATTTCACGAGGCAAGGCATAGCAGGTCTGAAAGGCGTTGGACCTTCTCTCCTGTACATCCTCTCAATCTCATCTGCATCATACACAAACAGCAAATCCGGTCTTCCGATTAATCCTCCAAGTCTGACTATCTTCCCATATTCATCAAGAAAATGTTTAGTTACTTTCGCAAATTGGGAAATATCGTATTGACCAATGTAAGGGATCATTCGCCAAGTATTGCCCAAAATAGGAATTGGTCTAGGCCCTGGTACTTCAGAATACGATTTAGCATTCGCGAAGATTTCCTCGTTGAGCATAACTGTTGGTGCAATTTGAGAATTTTGCCGTTTCGTAAATGGGCAACCGGTAGTTGCATAGCGAATTTGGTATTTTACGGGGTTTGTTGTAGCTGCGGCGCGAGCGAACGCGTTTAAAGAGCGACCCATGACGGTTAAGGCCGCTACGGCGACTGAGCCGAGATCGAGGGATTTACCGTTGCGCGGGAGTTGCTTTGTCAGCCATTGGTCATGGACACACCACTCTCTTTTATGTTGTTAATGGGGTGTGGAGGAATATTGTTTAGACTAATTAGATATCTACTTTATTTATACTCTATTGTAGTAAACATGTATTGTGTCAATAATGCAAGACTTAATAAATATCAAGGATCTCCCAAGTGATATTTCAACTTTTTCCAATTCGTTTTATTTACTCATCCGAAATTTAAAAAAATAGAGACTTCGTAGTTGTTTCGTAGCAGGTTTGTTATTTTAAATAGTTTAAAAAGAAACAAAATAACGGTTTTAAGGCAGACCTTTGACCGTACATTTGATTAACATTCTCGAACATTGTTAATTTTAACTGTAAAATTCTATTAAACATATTTTATAAATTGATTTCCAAAAAAAGGAAATATTGGAACTCGAATAAAATGGAACGACGCAATAATTTAGATATTGCGCGGCAACAATGGAGGAGAAACAAGTGGATAACCACTTGTCTCGCCGTATTTATAAAAGTTACCGTATTTATAGAAGACTCTAGGTATTTCAAAAATTTGCTTGGAGCGAACAGCACCAACAACGAAAACAATTTTAATAAATATAAACCTTAAGAATTAGAGAGTGGTGGCAATCCACGTGGTCAACACGAATACTGTAGAAATTATATAAATAAAAGACGATGACCAACAACTTTAATCTATCACTGCAAAGAACATCTGAGTGTTAAGCGCAGCAGCATAGAACAGTATTAATTCAATTTGCCAACATTTACGTCCTGTGCAGTATGTCTTACATTTATTAAATAATATAGGTAGTGAAAAGGTTCTTCAAAACTCTCTCTCTTACATCAGAGATGAATACAGATTAACATTCTAGTCAGATTTTCCGTTTAACCCTTATCGATCTCGTATAAATTTTTTAATTAAGCCACACTAAAGAGGATGGAATAAGATGCTACACCGCCTCCTGACTTTAGCCTACTTTAGCAATGGTGGAAGTGCTATGGCTATGGCGGCAAACATTATTAAGTAGCTACAAAGAATGTGATAAATGGATAAACCTAATAGAAACAGTTGAGAAATAAAGTTACTTTAAAAAAAGCCGATCTGAGTCGTGTCAGCCAGATAATGACGTGAAATAGCCGTAAATATGCTTAAATCTTTAGCTCAATGATCATATTGTATACAATACACTACGCAGAACGTCGGTACGGTTGATTAGCGGCTTATATGTATGTATGTATCTACGTTAATTAACACCGTTCGTAGATAGTGCAATTTGAGTTCTTCTCAAAGTTACTATAATTGTATATTATTATATATTTTATCATTGTTATTAGAATGTTATGTTAAGCCTAGTGTAGACTGTTGAGTACATATATCATTTATTTTATATAAAAGCAGTAATAATAAATAAATATACCAAGTATCCAAGGCAACGAT